ACGCCTCTGCGTAGGAGCCGGAGAAGGACAAGCTGCTGCTTCCGGGAGCTGCGTGAGGTAAGCGCCGCCTGATGCCTGCACCTCTGAGCCTCTCCCCACGCCCCAACCCGCTGCCCCAGCCCTGATCCCCCTCCCACCCTCCAAACCCCTCGATCCCAGCCCGGAGCACCCTCCTGCACCCCAAACCTCCCAGTCCCACCCCAGAGCCTGCACCCCTACCCCAATCCCCCTCGTCCCAGCCCAGAGCCACCTCCTACACCCCAAACTCCTCAACCCCACCCCCGAGCCCAAACCCCAACTCCAATTGTGTGAGCATTCATGGCCCGCCATACAATCTGTATTCCCCAACGTAGCCCTCGGGCCAAAACCTTTGCCCACCCCTGCCCTACTGCCGCACTGGGGAAGGCACCAACTGCCAGGAGAGAGCCCGTACTCACTCCCTGAAGCTCAGCGCCCTCGGGTGTCGGGGCCAGCCTTGACTGCCAGGGGAGAGCGCCCCCTGCTGAGTCCCTGCCCCGCCCCCTAGTGCCGCATTGGGGCCAGCTCTGACTGCTACGGGAGAGTGCCCCCTGCTGAGCCATGGTGGTCTCCCTTCCACATCCTGACCCAGCCAGGCCCTTACTCAGCACCGTCGGGGCGGGGCTCACCTCCTGGATGAGGAAGTCCTCTTGCATGCTCTGAGCTGGCAGGTTGCGCAGCTTCTCCATGGTTTCATACATGCCTTGGCAGCTGCGCAGCTTGTCCACCGAGCCCAGAGCGTTGCGGAGAAGGACCAGGCCCACCCGGAAGACGATCTTCACCCCTGGGGTGGGGAAAGGGTAGAGAGACTGGTGTGAGTCATGGGGTTTCAGGGACCTGGTGCTGGGTGTCAGCCATGCACACACATGGAGGAGAGCGGAAGTGGGGTCAGCTGGATGGATAGTTGGGTTGGAAGGGACGTCTGGGTTGATGGATTAGGTTGCGTTGGATAGGATGACTGGGTTGGGTTGGGTTGGGTTGGGTTGGACGGGATGGTTGAGTTGATGGAAGATGAGTTAACAGATTGGGTTGATACAGTGCGTTGGGTTGAACGCATGGTCGATATGTGTTGGGTTGATCAGATGGATGGTTGGTTTGGAGGGACTGGGTTGGATTGGGTTGTATAGAGTGGTTGAGGGGTGGACGGTTGGTTCGACGGTTGGTTGGATGCGATGGCTGGGTTAGATGGATCAGTGGGTGGTTGGCTGGTTGGGTTGGATGGGGAATGGGTTGGATTGGTCAGATGTATGGATGAGGGGTGGGTTGGGTGGTCAGATGGCTGGACAGTGGGTTGGATGGGACAGTTGGATGGATAGGAAATGGGTTGGGCTGGTCAGGAGGATGGATGGATGGATGGTTGGTCGGATGGATGGCTAGTTGGGATGGGACGATGGATGGATGGTTGGTAGGGTTGGACTGGTCAGGAAGATGGATGGTTGGCTGGGATGGGAGATCGGTTGGCCTGATCAGATAGATGGGATGGCTGGATGGAGGCAGGATGGGTTGGTCACATGGATGGATGGTACCATTGGTCAGGTGGAGGGATGGTTGGCTTGATGCACAGATGGGACAGCTGGATGGACAGGGAATGGGTTGGGTTGGTCGGA